AGGTCCCTCCTTTTGGGGGAGGGGGGGCCCAGTTAAAGGCCAGCAAAACCAGGAACCCCCCCCCCCCCCCCCCCCCGCCTGGCACAGCAGTATCTGATGTTCAAAACCATACCTGCCGTGTCATGCTCCCAAACTCTCTCCGGAAAGACATCGGCCGCTCGCCAAAGGTACGAGCGACGTCCGCATCGATTGCCTTGGCCCACTCGGAGTCCATACCCTGGCGCGCCAGCTCCGCGAGGCTGAATTGGGGACTCGAAGACGCAGCCGCGGCCCCGCCGTCGCTGCTGTCGGTGGCGCTTTCCGCAGGAGGGGACGCCCCGAGAGCGTCCCCGTCGGTGCCCGCCTTCTGTCTCGCGGCGGCGCAAGCTCTGTTGCTGTGGTCGTGGTCGTGAGAGACGGGGGGGGGGGGTCGCACGCGTCGTGGTGGTGGTAGAAGCGCATGCAATAGTCAAGAGTCACACGGGGCCAAATCGTTTGGACATCTACCTGCTGTACACGTCGTTGTTGCCCCAAAACAAAAACCTGACGATGCCTTTCTCCACCGTCCCTTCTTGAATACTATGAAGTACATTTTTAGTTCGTCTCCTCGTTTGTCCATGTATTGATAGAATACGCCTGTTCGTAATGTAGGGACCGTTGTGGTATGCGCGCTTGCACCCCGAATGGGCCTTGCATTTTCCAACAGAGTGTTCTACATTCGATGTAGTACGCAAGTTGTTTGTTTCGCACCTGCGCAGAATCATGAACTCCCAGAAGCCTGCCCTCCAGAGAGGGGTCACCCCCGCCCGGCGCACGATCCCCTTGTACAGGCGTTGTTGGTCGGACAAGACCGCCGTCTTCCACGAAGAAGAAACCAGCATCGCCGTCGGCACGCTCTGCACGCGAGGTTTGACGCGAGTACAGATGCACACGTACGTGTCGCGGATGCAAGAATAAAAATAAGTATAAACGTGCCGCGATTCTTCGACACCGTGATTTTCATATGTGTCGCGGGTGCATATGAGTAAATGTGCCGCGATTGTAAGGACAAGAATGGGATGTGTCGCGAGCGGAAGAGACTATAAAACCATGTGTGGGACTGGCATACGACCGTCATGATGTACTTGTCCATGCACCGGCAACGGTAAGAAGTCAAATGACACGTGCAAGCGTAGCATGCGACAGCGACAAGAACAAAAACGAACGGCGAAACCACCGACGGCGCCATTCGGTGTCTGCCGATTGGACACGACAAAAACGAACATGCCCCTCCTCACCTCCACGCTACCCAGGAACTCCACCACCAGGCACACGCCGGCTGGGCACCGCGAGCCGAACGCCTCCGCCGGCGACCCGCCACACATCAGCAACTCCTCCGCCTCTCCCTCCTCCTGCTTCCCCGTGCGGCGAAGGGTCTCCTGCTCCGTGTCCAACGCCGCCGGTGCAAGTGCTTGACCTTGACGACTACTGTCTTGCCCGACAGCAGCACCGCGAGCGTTTTCCGGTGCTGCCACTGGCACCGCCGCTGCCGCAGCAGCAGGCGCCAGCGCCGCCGCCGCTTCCGGGCTCTCGTCCGGAGCCGAGGGACTCTCGTGAGCATTCCCGTCGGCACGTGCACCGCCGCCGTTGACGGTACCGCTCGGCAGCAGCGGCAGCTGCGTCGGTATCAGCAGTCTTTCACTCCCCCAAGAGACTGGGAGTGCGGCTGTGGCTTCCACCTCTGACGCCTCCCCTTCCTCCTCCTGACCCTCAGTCGATGGTACCACAGCAGCCGAAAACGCCGCCGCCGCCGCCGCCGCCGGATCGCGGTCGCTCGCGCCCACCCGAACCGTAGCCAGAGCCAAAGCACCTCCCGCCGATTCTCCCCCTGCCCGCAGCGACCGGCTCTTGTGGACGGCCCCGTCGACCTCCGCGCAAGACTGCCCGGCGTCCGCCTCGACTTCCGTGGAGGTGGCCGTGGCAAACGGCGCTCTGGGCTTGACCGCAGCCTCTCTGGCGCAACCCCCGCCACCCGTCGTCCGCCGGGCAGCGGCAGATCCGCCCGCCGTTGGCGGCGGCTGGTTCCGAGGCTGCTCGCCGGAACGATTCGGCGGCAATACCCCCACCCCCCCGCCTCGTGCCTTCGCCGCCACTACCGCCGCCACTAATGCTGCCGCCCTGTCGTGCTTTCTTGGTACAGTTGTGGCCGCCCCATTCTCTACTTCTCTCGGTGCAGCTGTGGCAGCGACGGTCACAGCAGGAGCTTCCTCCGTCGTCGTTGCCCCCTCCGCCATTACTTGGGGCGAGTCGGGAGATCCCGTCCGCCGTCGGCGAACAGCAGCAGCAGCGGCGGCGGCGGCGGCCCCAGCCTCGGCAGCGACAGCCTCGGCAGCCACAGAAGTAACATCCTCAATAACCGCAGCCTCAGCAGCGGCAGTCCTCGCGGTGGCCTCCGAACCGGTGTTTCGGCCAGCAACCTCATTCTCCTCGTTCTTCTCGACGACCCTGTGACCACGGTCAGAGGGTGCGGCACGGTTGGCTCTAGGAGTAGCTTCTCGCCGGTCATCCTCACCGCGTCCCCGTGACGCTACCGCGGCAGTTTTCGCCGCCCCAGCCTCGCCTGTCGCCACCGCCGGCGAAGCACAACGATTGCTCAACGACGGGGCTCGATCGACACCGGCAACATCATACGCGCCTCCGCCGGCTTCCTTCGGGTCTGCTGCCGGCAACGACGACGAGTGCCTCTTGGTGCGGTCCTTCGACGACTTCTTCCGCGACGCCGAATGACGCTTTGCCGTGGCACCGCCGCCGCCGCCGCCGCCGCCGACGACACTCTCCTTCCCCTTCGCCTCTGCCTCACCACCACCAGCAGCAGCAGCAGCAGCCGCCGCCGCCGCCGCCGTCGTCGGTGCACCCTTGGCCCTCCCCTTGTTCCCGCGTCGTGCCCGGCCCTTCGGGGGAGCGGCGGCGGTCGAATGGCCGCCGGCACCCTCGGCGGCGACGAGTTGGGATCGACGAGCGGAAGCATCGGAAGCGATGCCAGCAGAAGGAGGGCGAGCAGCGGTAGCCGGCGCCGCCGGCGTGACGGACGGAGGAGCAAGCGAAGACGACGACATCGACGTAACCACCACCGGGGGCGGCGGCTTCACCGGCACGGAGGGAAGCAGCGCCGGCATCGAGCTATTCTTCGCTATCTCGGGCGGAAGAGTCTGCAGCAGCCCCGGCGCCTGTAGCGACACGGCGCGACCTCTCCGCGGCGAGCTCGTGGTGGCGTACTTGTTGCCCCGCAGCGGCGTCTCAAAGGTCCGCTGCCTCGACGCCAGGCGGGTAGGGGTGGATGATCTCCACGCCAACGCCTTCGCCCAATCTTCAGTTGCGGGCGTGCTGCCGGGTGACGAAGAGGGGGCGCCGCGCGCCTGACCCTGCATAGGCGTGGCGGCGGCGGCAGGCGGGGTACTGGTACTCACCCCAAGGGGTGCCGCTTGCGGCGGTGACGCCACTTCTGCCGCTGTACCAGCTGCAGCCGGCGGCGCCGGCGCCGGCGGGGGCGACCCTCTAGAGTCGGACGCCAATATCTTCGCAACTCGAGCGGCCTGCGCCGGTTCGACAGGCGTCGGCGGCTGCGACGGCTCATCGACCGGCGCCAGTCGGGAGAGAGAGGAGCGCGAGGCCTTCGGCGGCAGCGACGACGACTCGCGTGCCGACGGCACCGGCTTCCAGGAGCGCGGAGCCCTAGACACCGCGTGATGCCGCCCCCGAGCGGCGGGAGCCGCCCCGACGTCAACGCCGCCGCCTCCGCCAGCGACGACCACTTTCGCCCCTTCGATGGCTGGAGGGTCCTCGTCGGAAGATGCGCCTTCCTTGCGGGCCACCAAGAACGACGGCGGCAACGCCGGCCGCGAAGACGATATTCGGCCGCCGCCGCCCACGCTCCGTCTCTTGCTTGCTATCCCGTCGGGTCTCGTCGAGGGAAGGTCAGGCGTTGCGGGTGCCGGATCGGCGGCGGGTGCCATTGCGTCCGTCGCCGGCGGCGGCGGCTCCGAGGGGCTCCTCTCGGGAGGAACGACATCGTTCGCCGAAGTAGCGGCGTCCGCGGGTGGCGCACCGGTGCCGCCCGTGTGGGCAAAGCACGCCGGAATTACCGGTTTCGGCGGTACCGCGGACGCGGAAGCCCCGGCCGAATCTCTTCCGCCGCCCACCGGCGGCGATACGGAGGCAGTAGTCGAGCATCTCGGCGCCGGATCACAGGAAGAAGCCCCACGGCGCAGCCCCTGGCCGTTCTCGGCCCTGGCGAGCGTCAGCATGGAATGGTTGTCCTTGAGCATGCTCAGCAGGTTTCGGACCGCATTCACGTCTCCGGCGCACGCCTTGTCCACCTGCGGTCGGAAGCCCCCGGGGCAGCCACGGGGGAGGGGGGGGGGGGGGGGGGAAAGGGA